GGGGCTGGGGATTCAATCACTGAACCTGCAGTGTCGGCTCCACCCCTGGGGTGACAATTGAGACTGGGCATGGTGATGCGCACCTGTAATCCCAGCTCTTGGAAGGCTGTAAACAGGCGGATCACTACGAGTCCCATCTAGTAGTGAGACCCTGAACACCCTGTAGACCCTTCCCTAAAAATACAAAAAATAAAAAGAAAGAAAGAAATTCACATTGGACACTGAAAAAACAATACAAAGAATCAATTTATTTCTTTGAAAGATTAAACAAAATCAACAAACCTTTATCAAACTTTATGAAAAAAAGATGAGAAAATTGGAATAGGCTTTTATCTCAATCTAAGTCAACTATGAAAAACCAACAGCAAGAAAACTGAAAACTTGCTTTCTAAAATCAGGAACAAGACAAGGATGTCGACTGTGTGAACTCTTAATCGACATAGTCCTGGAAACTTTAGCCAGAGCAATTACACAAGAGAAAAAAAGAAAAGGAATAGTAATATGAAAGGAAAAAGTTAAATTATCATTATTTGCAGATGACATGATATTCTACATAGAAGATCCCCAAAACTCCACTAAAAAGCTGTTGGACTTAATAACAAATTATGGAGCATAGCTGGATACAAAGTCAACACTCAAAAATCAATAGAATTCCCGTACAGCAATAAACAACCTCACTGAGAGAGAAATTAGGAAACACCTTTCACAATAGCATCCAAAAAAATGAAACATCTAGGATTCAAGTTAGTGAAGGATCTAAATCTCCTGTACATTGAAAACTACATTACTCTGAAAATTGAGAGTGAAGAGGTTATCAGAAAATGGAAAGTTATTTCTTCTTCTTCACTAGGAAGAGCCGATCTAGTGAAAATGGCTATACTTTCCAAGACTGTTGTACAGATTTAATGTGATTTTGATCAAAATCCCAACAGTATGTCTCAAAGAATTAGAAAAAACAATCTTGAAATTCATTTAGAACCAGAGGAAACCTAGACTAGAAAAGGCAATTCTGGGCAAGAAGGGCAAGACCAAGGGCATCACAAGCCATGACTTGAAATTATCATGTGAAGCTACTGTTATTAAAACAGCATGGTACTGGCAAAGAAACAGATCTGAAGATCAGCGAAACATATTAGAAGATGCAGAAACAACTCCAGACATACTTAGCCACCTTACCTTTGACAAAAGTGCTGAACACATTCACTGGAAGAAAGATAGCCCCTTTAATAAGTGGTGCTGGAAAAACTGGCTCTGTCCATATCTAATATTAAAATTGGATTCATATCTTTCACCATGCATTAAACTAAATTTGAAATAGATCAAAGATGTAAATATTAAGGCAAACATTACATGTGAGGGAAGATAGACGAGGTAAAACTCTTGAAGACAGCGTAGGCAAAGACTTCATGAATAAAACTCCAATTGTGCAGGAACTATCACAAAGAATCAACAATTGGGTTTTCATCTTATTAAAAAACTGCACAGTTGCAGAAACTACTGAAAGAGTAAAGAGACAACCCACAGTGTAGGAAAAAATCTTTTCCAGATGTTCCTCAGACAAAGGGTTGCTATTGAGAATTTGTAAAGAACTGAAAAAAAATCAGACCTCTCAAATTTATTTATTTTTATTATAATTATTTTTTTTGCTGTACCAGGGATTGAACTCAGGACCCTGAACTTGTCAGGCAAGCGCTTATTCTACTGAGCTATCTCCCCTGCCCAGACCTCCCAAATTTAAAGGCCCAATCCAAAAATGGGCATCTGAGATGAATACACACTTCGCAAATGAAGAAATACAAATGTCAAATAAATGTATGAAAAAATGTTCAACATCAATGGTCATTCAAGAGATGCAAATGGATTCTGTCTCACTTTGGAAAGAATGGTTTTTATCTGCTGAAGGGGCTGTGGGGAAAAAGGAGCACTTCTCCACTGTTGGTGGAAATGTAGACTAGTGTAAGCATTGTGGAAATCATTATGAACATTCTTCAAAACAGTAGGATTGGAGGTCCCATTTGAGCCAGATATTCCCCTCCTAGGTAGCTTCCTAGAATTAAAAACACTATACCAATCAGTGTATGATGTATGTGCACCCATGTTTATAGTAGCACAGTCTATAATTAGATCTTGGAAACAACCCACATGCCCATTGACCCTTGAAAGAATGGATTTAAAAAAATGGGTTTTTTTATACAATAAAGTCCTATTCAGCCACAAAGAAGGATAAACTGGAGGCTTTCATAAGTAAACATCATATTGTCACTGCAGTATGAGAAGCTGAAAGAGTAAATACTATCCAAAAACTACAATAGATATTATAAAATGAGAACAAACTGTTCAAAAGGAGAGAGAAACTGAGATAGGAAAAATGAAGAAAAGAAAGGGGAGAATATATATATATATATATATATATATATATATATATATTAGTTTAAGATAGTTATACAACTAATTTCTCCTAGTTTATTGAACAGAAAGGTTTGTGTTAATATTGTTTGGACAATTAGATGTTGATATACTCTGAGTAAGTAATTTAAAGGTAACAATATATAACCTATTAATCATTGTTACCCTCATACTATCTTGCTCTGAAATTTTGTTTTATTTTTTCCCTTAAAGTGAAAAACACTTCTAAGGCATAGTGTGAGAAGCATGCCTAGGAAGGCAATATGTGCACTACACTGTAATAAGAAATATAAAGGCAGGAGACTTGTGTTGAGAATGCACTCTGATTCTTGGGGAGGAGAGGAGGTTAGGAAGCATTTACATTAGTGATTGTGGCAATGATGGCAAGACAGCAATCATTTTGGAGATAGTCACTGTTGTTGCCAGGCACGTACAGCTTGGGGTATCTTACTCCATCTTTATCCTAAAAGCCTTTTTAAATTGTTTGTGGTACTATGTATTTAACCCAGGCCCTTCACACTGGGATACATCTCAAGCCTTTTTTTTTCCTTTTTTAATTTTGAGACAAGGTTTTGCCAAACCCTAAATTCTCCAGGCTGTGTTCCAGTTGGTACTCTTCCCACTCTAGGAGCCCTGGAATTACAGATGTGCACCATACTCAGGTACCATACATGCTTTAGACAATGCAAACAGTTATTTCTATCTTGACTTTCATATATAAAAGAACTGAAGATTAGACATTAAATAATTTACTTATGACCATAGACAACCAAGGCTTGAGTTTCCCATTTGATTCAACTCCAAAGCTGGTGTCTTTACTTATTGATACACTGAGTTTGGTAAGGTCAACTTGGAGGTCAAGGGAGAAGGGAAACATGTGTTCTTAAGTCGCAGAAATGGGGAGACAGGTGAAGCTTTTGGTAGTCTTGATCTTCTAACTGAAAGATGTTGAAGGACTGGAAGAAGTAGGGATAGTTTATTGACGGGGTACATTAGCGATTTTAATTTGCAGATAAGAACTTAGCTAAATCAAGAAAGTTATTCCATTACTCCAAAGATGGGGTGGCTAATGTGTCCTTGGGATAATCATTTTTTTTTCTTGGCATTGTTCTTGTTTTGTATGTACAATATCAGTCTGCTTATCAGCAAGTTGATTTTTTTTAGTTTCCCAATTTTTCATTACCCCAGTTTAATTCCTTATCACCTCTCTCCTGGATTATCATGATACTGTACTACATTATCTTTTAAACTTCCACGTTACAACTCACAGTAATTTACTTAAAATACAAATACCACAAAAGGCAGCTATTTAAAAGCTATGACTAGTTTCCCACTGCATACAGAACACGATTAAAGCATCTTAGCATGGCATGCCAGGCCTTCAGCAATAGTCAAACCCCTGTCACCCCTTCATGTAGTCTGCTCCCATTAAACCCAAGGCCTTTGCACTGAACTACATTCGCAGCCCTTTCGTAATTTTTATTATTTTTTTATTATTTTAAGACAGAGCCTTCATTAAATCACTAAGATTCACAGGCTTGACTTAAAGTTGCAACCCTGCTGCTTCAGACCACAAGAGTGCTGAGATTACAGGTGAGCACCACAGTGCCCAACCAGTTATGTTTATTGGTTTTCTTGATTCGCACTTCAAATTCAATTAGTAAAATTCTCGCTGTTCGTAGTGCATTTCAGTCTTTGCCTCTGTGGACTTGCTTGCATTTCTTTTTCTTTTATTTTTCATTTCTGTATTTGGTACAGGGTCTCACTATGTAGCTCGGACATGTAGTGACCCTCCTGTTTTCAGCCTCCCCAGCGCCGGGATGACAGGCGTGCACCATTCTCGGACTCTTGCTGGCTCAGCATGCCCAGAGAGCGGGGCCGGCGCGGCATGCGGGACCGGGGATCGAACCTTGGTCTCTGAGCTTGCCAAAGCAGGCGCTTAGTCCACTGAGGTCTCGCCGGCCCTTTGCTCGCATTTCTGTTCCTACCCTTCACCACGTGGGTAACGTCCATCTTCCTTCAAAACGCAACTCGAACATCTGAAACTTCCCCAGAGTTCCCACGTATGTATACCTTAGTTGTAAACTCCTGGGGAACAGTTTTATCTTTGCGTCTGCAGACCTTAAGCTTATAGTAGCCGGTATAGTAGTGACTGGAAAGGGGTGGAGTCTTGAAGCTTTACTTGAAGCGCTGATAGGTGGAGCCGTGGAAGGAGGCGGGACCTGAGTAAATAGTGACGGACGCTGGGCGCGCAGTTGTGGATGGAATGAAATTTCGTGAATGGGGAGAGCTTTACTTTTGACACCTAGACCACTAAATGTCTCGCTATGGTGTGGGGTGGGAAAAGATTGTGCTAAGGTATTGAGGAAGCACCAAGAAGAAAATGATTACTTTCAGGGTGATGGCATAGCTCCAGAGGAGTTTCCAAGAAGGAGACATTTGGATTTTTTGGGAAATATTTATTTTCCAGGGTTTTAGCAGAATGGTACTGGCTAGGTACCTCTCCACCTTTGGTTTTAGGTCTAGCCCAGAGTGAAGCTACGGCGCGGCTGCGCCTGCGCCTTTCAGCTCTTAGTCCCGCCTCTTCCGGTAGGCTCGTTGGGGGGCGGGGTAGCGCTAGTAAGATGGCGGCGCCGGGGGTTTCGGTGTTTCCCGAGAAACCGAGGTATGGTCGGCTAGAGGCGATGGAGTGGCAAGAAAGGGGGACGGAGTAGACCGGGCCTGGGCATGGAGGATGAACAAGCAGGGGAGGAATGGGAGCTGGGCCGACGGAGCGAGCCATCGCCGCTCCAACGGTAAGCGTTTTTGAGGCGTAACCCGCACTGTCACTGGCGTTGGTGGCCTCCAGGAGGCGGTGAGGGAACAGGTGGCGGGGCGGAGAAGACCTGCGCTGTGCTGTGGAAGGGTTAGATGATGGCAGTGGCGTGTTCTGTAATGAAAACTCGCGACGCAAGGTTTCTCGCTCCAGCGCCCGCCGGGCGTTTTCCTGTCAGCGGGCGCGGAGGACAGGCGAGCCGCGAGCCGCGAGCCGCGAGCCGCGAGCCGCGAGCCGCGAGCCGCGAGCGCGGGAGGCGCGGCCGCTGATGCTGTTGTGTTTGTTTTTTCAATTTGCCAGTCACAAAAAGTACAGGGCCGCCCTCAAGAAGGAGAAACGGAAGAAACGCCGGCAAGAACTCGCTCGATTGAGAGACGCAGGTAGTAGACTCTTTGTCCACTGTTCTAGGTGTGGAATCGCTCCCTTTGCTCCCGCCCAAACGTGAGACCCCAGTGTCAGAAGGAAGTCGCGTACTGAGTCCTGATGAGCTGCGGTCGCTGCTGCCTTGCGTGTGAAGCTGTGTTAGACACGTGTTGGAAACAATGCTAACACGCCGAAGAAGGGCTTAGAGTCCGGAGGACTTACGCGTTACCCGCAGATTTCTCTGTATGAGCGTGTCTGTAAAGTAATAGGACAGCATTAGGATCGCAGCAGCTATTGGTAGCACAGTCCCTGCGCAGAGCCAGTAGTCCTTGGGGAGTTTTCCTTTGTAGAACCAGTGGGAGTCTTTTTTTTTTTTTTTGGCGGAACAGAGGTAGGGTTTTGTTTGTATTTATTTATTTATCTATTTTTGTCCTTTTTTTTTTTTGCGGAACCAGGGGCGGGTTTCATTTTTATTTATTTATTTATTTGTTTATTTATTTGTTTTTGTCCCCTTTTTTGGCGGAACTGGGGGAGGGTTTTCCTTTTATTTATTTATCTATTTTTGTCTTTCTTCTTTTTTTTTTTTTTCTTTTTGGCAGAACCGGGGAGGGTTTTCTATTTATTTATTTATTTATTTATCTGTCTATTTCTGTCTTTTTTTTGGCGGAAATGGGGGAGGGTTTTAATTTTTATTTATTTATTTATCTATGTATTTTTGTCCTTGGTGGAACTGGGAGAGGGTTTTATTTTTATTTATTTATTTATCTATGTATTTTTGTCTTTTTTTTTGCGGAACCGGGGGAGGGTTTTATTTATTTATTTACTTATTCATCTATGTATTTTTGTCCTTTTTTGGCAGAAATGGGGGAGGGTTTTATTTTTTATTTATTTATTTATTTATCTATGTATTTTTGTCCTTTTTTGGCGGAACTGGGGGAGGGTTTTCTATTTATTTATCTATTTCTGTCTTTTTTTGGCGGAACTGGGGGAGGGTTTTCTATTTATTTATTTATCTGTCTTTTTCTTGGTGGAACTGCGGGAGGGTTTTATTATTTATTTATTTATGTATGTATGTATTTTTGTCCTTTTTTGGCAGAACTGGGGGAGGGTTTTATTTTTATTTATTTATTTATCTATGTATTTTTGTCTTTTTTTTTGGTGGAACCGGGAGAGGGTTTTATTTTTATTTATCTATTTTTGTCCCTTTTTTGGCGGAACCTGGGGAGGGTTTTATATTTATTTATTCATTTATTTATTTATCTGTTTTTGTCCTTTTTTAATTTTTTTCCTGCGGAACCGGGGATTGAACCCAGGTGTTTTTCAGACAGGATCTCACTATGCATTTCAGGTTGTCGTTGAGCTCACTTTGTAGCCCAAGCTGATCTCAAACTCAGAAGGATCCTCCTGCCTCAGCCTCCAGAGTGCTGGGATTACAGGCGTGTACCACCATGCCCAGCTTTGAGACCCAGCTTTGAGTTGATGGTTTTAAATTTTCATTTTTGGAAGTTTTCCTCAAATTTTAGTAATAGAAGACCCTTTCTTGACTCAAATTAGTGTCATTTTAGTATACATAAGCATCAAACTTGTTATATATTTAACTATAAAACAATACAAGTGCAAATTATAAAACAAAATGAAATTATACCTCCAGTAAAATTCAAGTTTATGTTAGGACTAAGATGCTGATGGGAATCTGGAATGCCTCTAGTATGTTGTCCTACGATGGTTTACCATTTTTTCTCCATTAAACTGTAATACTGCATTAAACTGCCATATTTTATTAAATTACTGTACTCCGTTAAATTATTTCATTAAACTAGTAGACTCCACTAAACTACTATAAACTGCTACTACTTTTCTCCTTTAAATTACTATGTTCATTTGTATAGCTGGCTATGGTGTCACTTGGCCTTCACATGTTGGAACCTAACATATCTTTAACCTACCCGTTTAATACAAAAGAATTAGGATTGGAAATGTGGACGGGAGCACTAAAACCACACGGGAGTACTGAGTTCCAGTAGTTGCTAGCCATATTATTTTGCCTATGATTATTCAATTATCCTAGACAATTTTTGAACTGAGACCACAGCCTCAAGTAAGCGGGATTCTTGAGCCTTGACAGATAGATGTCTAGAGGCTTCATTTGTCATTGGTGTTCCCAAGTCACTATTTTAGTATTAGCATTTGGAGTAGATAATATGGAAGAAACAGTGGCTGTGTTTACCTGCAACCTGTATTAGCATCTTTCTTGTAGTTGTTTTGAAAAGTGGTCTATTAGAGGCAGGACATAGGGTCAGGGATAAAAGGAAAAACAAGGGTAGGGCAGTTATTGATGGTCTTATTGCCCTCAAGCTCTCAGCTTCCTGTCCTTATTTAATGTTTCATTTTAACATACATACCTTTTAAAAACCCTCTTCCTTTTTTTCTTCTCTTAAATCTTGTAATAGCTGGTGTTTGTGTTGTATTGATTTTGTGTTTCTTTGACTTTGGAACGGGGCATCCAGAGTGAACTTTTATGGGGAGGCAGGTGAATCATATCTCTTGGTGGGTTAGTCTGTTAAAGGATCCAGGTCCTGGTCTGCCCAAGATTATATTGCTAGTGGAATATCTATACTCAGCATCTGTCTAATTTTACCCACTCTAACTCATAATCCTTTACTTAGTGGTTTTTTATGAATAGTGTGGACTACGGAACACTGCTGTTCATTGTGGCAAACATTACTCAGAAAGCTGAACCATGAAGAGCATTGCTGTAAAAGAGTGTACTGGCAAGTGATTGGTAGAAATTTCTGAAATAGTGACCTTTCAGTAGCTTTTTTAGCATCTATTCAAGTTAATCCAAAATAAACTGCCTTGTTGGAAATTAAGGAATATTAAGTATCAGTTACAAGTTACAAAACCATAGCCAGATTTCATGTGTATATTTACATGTGTAATACAATTAGATATACTGTTTGTCTGTTTTCTGTTTTTTGACAGTATGGGAGACTGAACCCAGGGCCTTTGCTCGGAGCTACATCTCCATCCCTTTTTCCTTTGTATTTTGAGACAAGGTCTCATGAAGTCACTAAGTTGTTCAAGCTGGGCTCCAATTTGTGATTTGCAGCCTCAGCCTTCCAGAGTGCTGGGATTGCAGGCATTGTGCACCACCATGCCCAGCTGATATATTTTATTTATGTGTACCCTTGCATATATTTTGATTGTGCCTATAGGGAAAATGCTGCACTCAGAACTGTTAGTGATCACTTCTGTGGTGTGAGTGAGCTTGTTTTAGGGGCAATGCAGAGTTGACTGGGTCTGTATCAAGTGTATATAGGCCATGTCTAGTCTGTGGGTGTATTTCTGTGAGTTAAGAGTCTTACTTACTGTGCCAAGTTGTCTGAACCATTATGAACACTAGATCACTTATCAGAATAATTAGACATTATTTTATGAGTTAGAACTTAGCAAAAATTTTTGCTAAATAAGTTTATTTATTTAAGAAAACTAAATTATTGTAATGAACTAGAACTTAGCCTTTGGTTAGACCTATACCCTATATGTGTGATGCACAAAGTCTTTTTCCTTTAAGCTTGAAGTCATCTGTTACATTTCCTTAGGATTGCTACATTTCCCTCCCCCCATATTTCTTCTCCATTTTCAAAGCTTGTTCCCCCTCAAATTTAAACTGTAAATACAGGAAATATATTTTTCTTCTATTGGAAATTATTTTACCATGCTTTTCTTTTTTTTACCAGGTTTTTCTTTTGACAATGCTCCAATGTTTAGAAAGTTGAAAAAAAATACAATAAATATTTAAGAACCCTTCTGTTAGATTTGTCAGTTGTTAATATTTGACCTTTTGTTTTCATATAGAGAAATACATACACAAATTTTTTTTTCTGAACCTTTTGCACGTCACTGGCAGATAACATGGCACCTCATCCCTATATCCTTCAGCCTGCATCTCCTCAGAATAAGGATGTTCTCCTGCAGAATCACAGTACCAAATTTGTACCAGTGTAAATAAACAGGAATTCAGTGGTGTGATGAACAGGCCATATTGAAACTTCCTCAAACCAAGACCATTTTGAAAAGCTCAAGCCTGTTGTTCCATATAATGCCTTGCATTCTGGATTCTGTATTAGCATATCTTCTTCTGATTACCTTTGCATTAGAAACACTTTATGACAGAATACTACAGAGCAGGTGTTATAAGCATCTTACAGCATACATTATAAGAGCCATATCACATTGCACCACTCCTCATGAATGGATTATTCCAGTTTTTTGATTTTTGGGTTTTTTTTGGCGTGACTGGGGATTAAACTCAGGCCCTTGTGCTTGCCAGGCAAGCGTTTATTCTACTGAGCTATCTCCCCGGCCCCGGATTATTCCACTGGGAGGGCTCATTGTTTCCCTTTTCCAGTTAGTCCTCATCTGTGGGATGACATTTTGAGATGGTGTAAATATCATTTTCCCAACAAACTTTCAACATATTTTAATATCTCTTTGTTAATTTTTACATTGGGAGTTGCAAAGATGATCATTTTTCTATTTAAGTGTTTCTACATGTTTTAAGTTTTCCTTCTCTAAAGATGGATACTCCTCCCTATACCTTTACCACCATTTTGAATATCACAGTGGAACCATTTATTGATTTATAAATTGTGTTATCCACTATCATTATTCTTTTTGAGAAGGATTTTTTTTAGGTGGCTCAGGCTGCCTTCAGGGCGGGTCTGGTTAGACATGGGGAGCTGGGGGTCAAACCGCAGCCTCCTGTGTCTGACTAGGTTTGCCCCAGCAGACACTTAAACAACTGAGCTAACCAATTTTGATGCTAAGTTTATACCAAGTTTAGAACCCTTATTATTAGAAAGTTTTTAAAGGTTTTTTAAAAACTATAGTTATAAAGATTAAAGAGTATGTGTATTTTCCCCCTGAATTACTGACCAAGGATTTGCAGTACTCAGAGCATTTAATAAAACATTTGAATTTTCTCAGAAGCCTCACAGAAGGAGGAGGAAGAGGACACTTTAAATGAAGAACAACTAGAAGAAGAGAAACAGTTGGAGAGAGAGAGGTCAGCGCTAATTGAATAGAACTCAGTTTTATTTCAGTATTATCAGCCTTTATTCCTAACTAGTACTTTTTTGTATAAAATTTTGTACAAAATAGGTCTTCTGAAATATCCTGTATAAACCATTCAAATCTAAGATGATGGGTTAAAAATTAGGTATTATCTTCTTTTAAAATGGAACTATTTTTCCTGTTTTTGCTACTTGCTAAATCCTTTTAATAATATTATACAGTTGTAAAAGGTGAAAATTGTTATAGTGAAAATTTGTATTTCTTTGTTTCAAATGTACATTTCTGAATTAGTAAACTTGAATATCTTGATATATTTTATTTCCTATTTGAAGATTGCTTAAGTCTTGCACCTTTCTCTTTTGGGATACTTGCTTTTTAATATGTTTTGTAAGCAATGTTATTTCTTGATGAAGGATTTAATCCTTTGTTGTATGTGTGTTGTATATTTTTCTCATCTGTTACCATCCCTTCCTTGGCTTATGATATTACTATGATTTGATTTTCATGTTGTTAACTTGCATTATGGTTGATGTCTGACTCTAAAAGTTCTTCCCTAACCAAAGATGATGAAAAGACTTTCTCTTAGTATTTTTCACAAGGTAGTTTGCTTTGTTTTAATGTGGCACACACTAATGTGTATGTATTTAATGCCACTCAACTGTACACTTAAAATGGTTACAATGCTAAATTTTAGGCATGTATATTTTATCACAATAAAAAAGTAAAATTTTTTGAAACAGATAAAAATCTTTCATGGTATTCTCTAGTTGTTTAACAGCACAGTCACTGGAAATGTTGGTGCTTTTCTTGTAATTTGTTCTTGTTAGCTACCTAAGAATCTCAGGAAGTAGAATTATCAAAATGCCTCCCTCCCACCGAAAAAAGTGTAGCAATGATTAAGAACATGGAATTGATTCAGCCATATCTGAGTTCCAATCCTGACCCCTGCTACTTACTAGCAGTGTTCAAATTTCTTAAGTTCTCTAATTGTCAATCTCCTTGTCTATAATAAGGAGATTAAATCAATCATACTATTTACCACATGGAATTGTGAAGATTAAATGAGGTCATACATGTATAGTGCTTAACAAGTATTAGGAGATGCTGTAATTATTGGCTTTTATTATAGTTGTCTGTTATGAAGACAATATATGTATAGTATGAAATAGAGAAGTTAGCTTTGTTTTTCTGTCTTAAAATGCATCTTTTAAATTACGTGTACCTTGTGTTCCTTTGATCTTTGTTTATTTCTATGTAAGTTGCATACTATTTGAGTTAATGTTGAGAAAACAGGAAACATGTGAAATATTATATGGTTTTCTGTCCTGTTTTAAAGCAGATGTATAGTATATCCAAGTTACTAAATTGTAAAGCTTTTAACATTTTACTTTTCTGTGATCTTAAATTTATATACTATCTGGTTCAGCTATGTACAATTAATATATTCCTCAGAAGATTCATAAATTGGAGTTCTGCACACTGAGACATCTGTATGGTTTCCTATGGCATGCACAGGCATGTTGATACATGCAATACCCTGGCTTTTACTATGGCTAGAAGATGTGTTCTGGAAATGGTGGTTGGAAATGGGGTATTTTTTTATGGAATATTTAAGTTATGGTTGAGTCTGGACATATGGTTAAGGCTGGACATACAACCTTATTTAATTCCTAATGTTGCTGAAGTAATACAGAATAGTTTCTCATATTTCATTTCCTTTTTACAAAAGCAGTGGGAAAATAAAACTAGATTTTAAACACCTAATTGGCAAATAAACTTTGGAAACATAAACCCCTATTTAAGTTAGAAACTTGTGATATTGGATGTTTGAGAATCTTACTGATTTTAGGTAACATTGCTTCTTACAATTGGTCACTAAAAGCAACTAAGCTGGGTATAGAGGCATGTGCCTATAATCCCAGCACATAGGAGGCTGAGGCAGGAGGATCACCATGAGTTCGAGGTTAGCCTGGGCTATGTAGTGAGTTCAAGACCAGCCTAAACTACATAGCAGACCCTGTCTTGACAAACAAAACCAACACTATTGCTAATTTATTTTTGTAGCTTTTTTCATCTTTTAGAAAGTAAATATAGGTTTCTTTATTTTGAAGTTATGTTCACAATGTAGTTTCCTGTCCCCCCCCCAAGTAGTTCAGATATTTGAAGATAATTTATAGGAGTCTCTTGGCTGTGTGAGGAAGTAGTCCAAAGGTTTATGGTAGAAGATGCCAAGTATTTGTATTGCTGCAGTCATGGAACTGCATGTGAGGAGTTGCTACAGTGAAGCCCATTAATCTGTACAATTAATATGTATTAATAATTACATAAAAAGCAACACATAGAATATGAAGAATGTGAAAAGCCAAAATGTTGCTTTGAAACTTGTTACCTACCTGTTAGGATTTAGTCATCACTGTGATCAGCCTAAAAGTAAAATCCTAATGCTATCTTTTCATAAAAAACTCACAGCTACTGAGCACTCTGGGAGGTTGAGGCATAAAGATCACAAATCCAAGCCCATCCTTAACTACCAATTTAGTTAGAGCCTGTTTCAAAGTTAAAAGGAGCAGAAGCTATAGCTCATTGTGAAGGCCCTAAGTTCCATCCCCAGTACTGAAGAAAAAAGTTGTCCCAGCCTTTCAAACTTATGAAATGTAGACACAGTAATTGCGGCTTACTACTCTGTAGGGAGATAAGTCTAGCAGGGCTTTTTCAAAAGCCCTACTCATATCTTCTGGTTCTCTTAGCCTACTTTGCTACTTTCATAATATTTTAATTCTTCCCCCAAACATGTCATTTTTATTTTTGTTTGTTATTGTGTGTCGGTCTATATTTGTAGATTAATTCCCATTACTTTTATTGATTACATTGTTACTTTCATAGGCAAAAATTACATGAGGAGTGGTTGCTGAGGGAGCAGAAGGCACAAGAAGAGTTCAGGATAAAGAAGGAAAGGGAAGAGGCAGCTAGAAAACGACAGGAAGAACAAGAGGTACAGTATTAATCCAGTAACTCATTAACAACCACATTAAATTTCATTAAGAGTTACTGATTTTGAACTTAACACAATTGGTATTATCCATTTTACCAGTAGTTTTAAAGTATTCATTTACTTGCTCTATATGTTAAATGTTTAAAGAGTGAGCCTAAAAATAAAAGACCCTATTTTTTTTCCTTTAAAGAGAAAGTTAAAGGCAGAATGGGAAGAACAGCAGAGAAAAGAGAAACAGGAGGAAGAACAGAAGCTGCAGGAGAAGAGAGAAAGAGAGGTGACTGCTGTCGTAGGACAGACCACTATGTCTTCTTAGTGTGAACGTGAGCGGTGCGATGGTTTGCAAGAATAAGCTGCGGTCATGTTGGGCTTTGGTTTTTGTTTTCCTTTCTGTGGTCATATCTTTCGTTTACTTTTAGTCTAAAGATACACTAGGGTTTCCTCATGATTCTATTTTTGAGTGTGTCTGAGAGAGGCAGATTCTTTCAATTAAGGTTTTCCTTATCTTTACCTAATCCCTTTGTATCAGGGGTTAGCAAACTTTTCTGTTAAAGGGCAGGATAGTAAAATGGTTTAGGCTTTGATGTCTATGTGGTCACTGTAGCAAAGATCCAACTCTGCCAGTGTGCGCTGAAGGCAGCCGCAGATAATACGTAAATGCATGCCTGAGGCTGCATTCCAGTAAAGCATTTCTGCAACACGGCCAGCTGGTCCCTGCCTTCTACTCTTTACCACTGTCCAGTGAGTGATGTTTTTCTGTGCTTCTGTTGTATGTGTGTTGACTTCCTTAGAGAATAATATTATGTATAGTTTCCACATTTATTTTGGTCATAGGAGGTTTAATATCTTATGACACATCAATAAGAATTACTTGATTTAAAGAAATCAGGAATTCAAATATTGAGGAATTAAAAATTCTTTTTCGTTCCTATTATTCATCTTGACTTCCTTTCTAACATAAGTTGTGATATTAACTGTAGCTAACACATAATTTTTTTCAAAATTTTATTGATAAACAGATAGCAGCTAACACATAATTGATCATTTTTAAAACCTATAATGTATTTATGTCTTCTATATCTTCTAGGATTCCTTTTTAAGCTACTATTTTGCTGCTATTCCTTAACAGTGTATTTCAAAGATACATAGTTCAGTTTCTCTTAACTGATTCATCAGGTTGTATTGTTTTTGGAATATTGCTAAATTTGGTTAGTGTGACATTGGGCAGTCACCTTGTAATGAGGAAACACGGCTTTGTTTATATCCTAGTCAGGATAGGGTAGAAGCAGCCTCCCTAGCCTTTGTTCTTGTGTTTGAGGCATCAGTTCCAGTGCACATTTTTTTGTTGTTGTTTTTTAGGAGAGGGTCTTTAGGGTGTTCAGGGTCTCACTACTAGATCGAACTCATGGTGATCCCCCTGTTTACAGCCTCTCAAGAGCTGGGATTACAAGTGTGCGGCACTAGGCCCAGTCTCAATTGCTGTCTCAGCACAGGACCTGCACACAGCAGGCCCGGGGATTGAACTCCCGGCCTCTGTGCCTGCTTACAGGTGCTTTAATCCACTGAGCTATTTGGCCAGCCCTAAAAGTTGAGAAGGATTTTTTTTTTTTGGCTGGCTCAGGCTGCCTTAAGGGCTGGTCTGGTAAGGCAGGTGGAGCTGGGGATCAAACCCCGGTATCCTGTGCCTAACTACACTTACGTGAGCAGACGCTTAAACAGCTGAGCTAACTGGCAGCCCCCCCCCCCCAGTATACGTTTTCATACTCTATTTGAGTAGTGCTTTTCAGAAGGGGCAACATCATTCTAGGTTTATAGAAGGCACAAAAATAGTTGCCATATTTTATAGAGAGGAACCAATTCTTTTTAACAGGAGAATGTGCTTCAACTGAGGCCTTTGGGAATCAGAAGCTAAGACTTCTTTATTCAGTTTATTTTATTTTTTAATTTTTATTTATCTTTTATGTATTTTAGGGAAGGGTCTACAAGGTATTCAGGGTCTCACTATTAGATCAGACTCATAGTGATTCGCCTGTGCACAGCCTCCCAAGTGCTGGGATTACAGGTGTGCACCACGATACCCAGTCTCCATTGCATCTCAGCATTCCCCGGGGGTGGGGCTGGCATGACAGGCCTGGGGATCGAACCTGGCCGCTGCTCCTGCCTTCAGGCACTTTAATCCACTGAGCTATTTGGCCAGCCCTTAAGACTTCTTTTATTGTATTTTATTCTTTTTTTTTATTTTTTAGTTTTTAGCGGAACGGGGGATTGAACTCAGGCCCTTGAGGTTTTAAATGCTTTTGTTTCAAAGGAAGTCTAGTGAGACACTTAGAAGAAGTAGGTAAAATGAAGTAAAGTCTAATTATATATAAAGGAATATGCAATGTGTGTCTCTGCTGTGTGCTGGCTACGTCTCTGATGGACAGAGATAGAGCAGGGAGATGCAAGTCTCTTCTCTCATTGACTACTTTTCTAGGTGGGGGAGTCAGATGATGGGTAAGTAAAACAGATAATTCAAAATACAGTGAGATAGTGTTAAAAGTGTAAAGAAATAAAGCAATGAGTGATGAGTGATACAGTGAAGTGATGGGGATAGAGAGAGGAGTACATAGGTTGCCTGGCTAAAGAAATCTCCTAGGACTCAATAGTTAACCAGAAAGGAAGACTTCCATCTTCTGTATTTGGGTCCACACCTGAGCACAGAGGTCTTGAGGAGAAGTAGCCTAGAAGTGGAAAGACCAGGGTGCCTGAAACTGAGAGACCAAAGGAGAGTAGGGCAGGGGCATGGGAAGAATTCAAGAGAGTAGGATGGGTCAGAGCATGCGGGTCCTCTTGGATTGGAAGGAGTTTGGATTTTATGGTAAATGTAATGGGAAGGCATTGCCCTGCTTTTAAGCTAGGAGAGACTTCATCCCTTTCATACCGTGCCCTTCAACAGATCATGCTAACTTTTGTACAAAGAATGGGATATAGGGAATGGAAGCCAAGCTGATAAGATGGAGATAGACAATGGTGCTTTGGGTGGGGGTACTGCTTTAAAATGGTAACTACAAAGATTTGAGCTGTGTTGGAAGCGAAGTTAACAGGACTCTAGCTGCTGAGTTGGGTGGGAGGGAAGAGGAAGAGAGGTAGGGGAGTTTGAGTCACATTTTTAAGAATTTTTGTGGGAGCAGATGGACAGATGGTGGAACTATTTATTGAGAGGAGCATTTAAGTGGGTTGTGAGGGTGGGTTGTAGAAGAGAACAGGACCTCTGTTTGGGAACTAGGGATATAACATAGTGGAATAGTGCATGCTTCACATGTTTAAGACCCTGAGCTTGATCCCCAGCACCAAAGAAATTAAAAACAAAACCTCTGTTTTGAGTATTTTAAATTATCCCGAACTCTTATGTGACCAGGTTCAGTTATCAAGGAAGTAGCTAGACCCAAGTCTAATGTATAGACATTCCTTGTTTAGTGACCAAGTCATGGTCCTGTGACCAGGTAGTTAAAGTGGTCACTAAGTGAGGAATTGCATATCGTATATACATTATGATACTTGGAACAAAGAAATCTCCAACTTGATGGCTTTGCTTTTATTTGCATCACTCTTACAGGAGTACTATAATGTATAACAGCATGTGAAACTACAGTACTGTACATTATACTACAATCAGCAAAAACTACAATACTCTGTAAATAAGGTGTACTGTAGATAAAAAGGACATCCTGGCTCTCTAAGTAAGATGTACAAAACTACAAAAGATGAGGCATAAGTTTGAACAATGCCTTGATCATAATTCTGAACAGTTATTAAAACAGGTAGGTCATTAAACAAGGAATATCTGTATTACTTTAAGGAGCCAGAGAAGAGGAGTCTGTGGGACATAATTTTAAACTACTTATATATCAATTAGGTAGAGATTTGCTGGCGCATTGCAAGGTATCCTTTGCATTATTGAAAACTTTGAAATTTTTCAAATATCTTAATTACTACTGGTCATGTATTTTAGCTTCTGTTAAATATTTATAATGTTTTACCCAGCATTTCATTTTATAATAATCACTAATACTTATGTTAAAAACTATGGGGGCCAGGGAGATAGCTCAGTAGAATAAGCGCTTGCTTGGCAAGCTCAGGGTCCTGAGTTCAATCCCTGGTACTGGGAAAAAAAAAAACTATAATGTGGTATATATGCTCAAGTATACTAAACTTTTAAACTAACTAAAACCATCATGAGATTATTTTAAATATTTTGCAATGTGATCTGCAATTTTCTATTCAAATAAAAATGCTAAGCTATAAATCCTTTGAAAATTATTCAGGAGATAGATTAAAACCCAGAACCTGAAGCTGTGTGCATGCGCGTGCGTATATAACATTATTATGCATGAAATTCTTAGCCAGAGAAACAAGCTGTGACTTTACCTGACTTTCAGGCTTTCATTAGTTCTATGTTTGCACCATTTATAGGAAGCGGTACAGAAGCTACTGGATCAGGCTGAAAATGAGGTACTTTAAAAACCTTTCATTAAGACTTTGAGACCAATTAATATTTTATTAGAAACAGTTCCATTAATATTAATTATTTTGGTGGGTATAGGCTATTTAGATCATATCTGGATATGTGGAACCACTTATGATGACAAACATTTCTTAATGAACAAAGACAGATAGTAGTGAATTGCCCTGTGGACTGTACTTGTTTAGGGTCCTTAAAGTATATATCAGCAGTATCATATCCTGTCAGCCCCAAATGGTTAGTTTATATTGACTCAGAGTAACTTCTGCTTCTCTCAGTGGTGGTTTGCTAAGTCTTTGAACCCTTCAAAATGGATGGACAGAAGGAAAGTCTTGATGACTGCCCCTGCTAGCAGTATTGATTCTTGGTCAAAGAAAGTAAATGGGCACCAAGAAAGTATCTCTGGACAGTGTTATACCTTAAATGTGAATATTCTCAAGTGAAGACTTTTTAAAATTTTTCGTAAAAATATTTGAATTTTTTGGAAGTAATGTAGTTTTTCATGGATCTTTATACTAATATAAAGTCATGGTTATTTTCAGCAGTTAGAAAATGGTACCAGTTGGCAGAATCCAGAACCACCCACGGATTTAAGAGTAATGGAGAAAGATCGAGCCAATTGTCCATTCTACAGTAAAACAGGAGCTTGCAGATTTGGAGATAGGTAACTAATTTTGCTTTATCGTGTCAGAATTAAGTGATTTGAAATGGTGAGATTTTTGAGTTTTTGAGAGAAGCATGGGCTTTGGTTTGAAATAGTCATTGTCAGGCATCTGCAGCTTTCTTGCTGCTTCCGTGTCTCCCCAGCCAGTTGTCTCCTGTCCCCTCCTGCTCTGTTCCCTAGCTGATAGGATTAGCCAGGTGTGTCCTTTGCAGTCCATACCTTAGGAAGACCTTTTGCATGTTTGCTTCTTGTGCTCACCTAAGTCCACAGTGAGCCACTGCAATGGAGAATTAACGTATTTGAAGTGACTGGTGCAGCCCGACTGTTATTGTTTGAATGGCACATACCATGTTCCAGAATAGGCTTTTCAAGCTTGGCATGTATAAAGGGATAACATCTGAAAGACAGGATCAAAAAAAGTAGAATAGGATTTTAAGTCACCCCTGTCAGTGAGTATGCTCAGATTTAGGAATAAGGGCCATACCCTGGCTTCAGTGACTTCTTTTCCTCTCTTTCTACAAAAGGGCTGGCCTATGGCAAGTGCTGGTATTTTCACAATTGTTACTGTTGACAAAGAGTCTGAGACAGTCTTGCTTCCTGCCTCTTTTGGATCAGTGTTTTTGAAGCATGACATTCATGTGGAAACTGTTTATCTCTTATCATTTATGAAATATTTGGTTGTCTACTACATGCCAAGTATTGCTTATCTTATAATTTAGTTTATTTATGAATGGACAAGTCATAGTGGATAAATAATTCTTAATCTATCTGAAACAAAATCTAATTATTATTATTAGATATTACGTGAAAGAGAAGATCCAATCCTAATCTTATATTCATGCTAAAAATGGACACGAACAGGAAAATTCATGAGTATTTAATGAGACATTGCTTGTCATCTCTCAGGTGTATTTTATTCATGAAATTACCCATGCCATGAAGGTTCTTTTTTCTTTAGAAAGTGAGAACATTCTTTTTTCTTTATTAATTTAAACCTTCACATTTTTTTTCATTTGTTTCATTTCATTCATTGGCACATGAAATTTTGCAATTACAGTTGCAAAGTATGAGACTGGTTCAGGTATTTTCATTGTTCACGTGATGAATTGAGACAAAATTGTGTGACATTGCTAGTTATGAAACATAGCACCATCCCTTCAGACAGTACACTGTTCTGTTCCCTTTTGCCGAGAGCCTCAGTGACTTGCTTCTTCAGGTGACACAGCTGTTCTTTTTTAAGGTTTGTTAGATCATTGGAGGAATATTTCTTTAACCTAAGCATCTCTTTGGTTGTTTTGTGATTAGCACAGAGTCCAATTCTAGAACCTTTCTAGAATTGATATTGTTTGGAGTAATAGCTTTGAGATGAGTTCTGTTTTTTTTCCCCCTTTAACAAAACATGATCACAGAGCAAATGTAAAACTTCTTTTTCTAAGTATTTAAAGTGATTTCAAGGTGACTTACAATCTCCTGTGTTAAGTTAAATAAAGTAAAGGAAATTGAAAGCAAGGAAAGGAGGAGAAAATGAGTTATTGTGAATGTACAATGTTTCTGACCTTATCGTAATGCATCCCAGGCAGATAATAAGCCATATGATTCTTACCAAAGAACAAGAATGAGTGATATCTTTCAAAAGCCAAAGATTTTCCTGGCATGAGATTCTACGTGTATCTCATGTGTAGTCTTGGATAAAGATACTGAATAGCAAAGTGGACGGTCACTTGAATGGATGTTCTGTAGTGGTTGATTGGCCTAATTATCATGACTGTCTCTTATGCTGACCTTTGATAAGTGATCTCAGCCTGGCTTTAGTGCTCCAGTGCAGTGACTCCATGAAGGACAAAGGCATTGAGTACTAGACTTTCTCCTCAAGAGGAATACTCAGCTGTGCAGTGAGGCCATTAGGCTAGTCACACCATTCATTTACTGGCTTCCTTGGGCTAAGTAATGTTCAACTGATCAGTCTGATTTGACTCGAGTATCAGACTAATGAGCATACAGTGTGCCTTAAAACACTGGTTTCCACACATGACTGATCATAGGGACCACATGAAGTTACTTTGAAAATGCAGGTTCCCCAGCCCTTGAGACTGATTGCTTGACCTGGGGCAGGACTGAAGGGGCCTCACTTTTGCCCTGGGTAGTGCATAGAATCACACAGGCTTGGTGCTACAGCTTTAAACTCCCCACTTACTAACTTGTCTTCACTGAGTTCTCATTAAATGGTACATGGCTGGTCTTTTGAATACAGATTTTAAGGACTGTTTCGAAGTCACCTGGGGATTTTCCTTAGGCAGACATTTTGGCTCTGTTCTAAAACTGACACATGCTTATTGGATACCCTGGGAATCAGAGTCACATTCATTCAGATCTAAGAGTCACATGAGCAGAATTTCAGCCTCACTACATTAGTTCCTTGCTCAGTGCTATATGTGTTTGAGACTTAGAAAATTTAGATTCACTGCTAGCATTGCTGACCAGGCTGAATCCTTATACTTTGTTCTGTCAGTACTCGCAGAAGATGGTTCTAATTATCAGGTTTCTAATTGAATAATTAGGGGATAATTTGGACAATAGAGAATTTCACATTGACGAACATTGCTTAAACATTGCTAGGCATGGTGTGTGCTGGGCATTCCATATAGGTGCCTGGATTTGTATTATAGACATGGAAAGTGATTACACATTTAGTCATTTCAGGGCCCCTGGCTTTTACTGATAGTTGCCTATTCTCAACTTTTTTTCCTTGTTTTTTACTTTACTAATTTTTTTTTGTACTAGGGATTGAATCTAGGGCCTTTGAACTGAGCTACAGCTCCAACCCTTTTGAAAATATTTTATTTTAATTAATAAGTTAGAAAAAAACTGTTTTTCAGTGCTGCTAATTGAACTCAGGACTTCGTGTTTGCCAGGCAGGTGCTGTGTCACTGATCTATACTCCCAGCACCTGAACTATTTTATTTTGAGACAGAATCTTGTTAAGTTGCCAGGTTGTTCAGGATAGGTTTGAAGTTGACATCCTCCTACTTCAGCCTCCTGGAGTGTGGGGATTGTAGGCATGCACCACTACACTGACTTTCATTTTTCTTTTCTGACATGAGTACGGATGGACTGTGCATGCTAGGCAAGTTCTCTGTTACTGAGCTATGTCTCTAGCTCCTGTCTTACTGATTTTAAATTTTAACACAAACTAGGAAATTTTTATTTATTTGTAACTTTGAACTGCATATTTTTTTCCATTTTAGGAGAAGGAAGTAAATAAAACAATGTAAACTTGTGTAAAGGATTAAAAATTACTCAGGCATAGCCAGGTCAGCTTATCCTTCCTCAGTCTAGCTTAAACTTTGAAAAGAAAATTGTTCTTCACAATGGCTAGCTACCTTCTTGAAATCATATTTCCCATTATACTCTCCAGTGAGCAGGCACCAGATTGTAGGCTCAGTCTTAGAGCCATCTCTTTCAGCCGTGTGACTTGGACAGATGTGCTTCTCGAAGTTTGAGTTTCCTACTCGGAGCAGTGGGAAAAGTGTTAGCCCCAGTTGTCCTGGTAGGTTGTAAGGGCCTGCAGGGACAAACATAAGAATAGCAAGAAAACTATAAAAGGCTATATATAGACAAGGTGGACATAGTCCACCAACTGGAAGTTCTGAGATTATCTTATTCTTATTTTTTGGTACCAAGAATCAAACTCAGGGGCTTACGCATTCCAGACAGATGCTTGTGCCATTGAGCTATATCCCCAGCCCTGCTCATCTTATTCTTTAAACATGTAAGTCACCGGAGGATTGTGTGTATGGAACAGGCTTTTACTGTTCTCACCATCCTCCCAAGATGCCATGTGGCATTTTACATCTGTCACCACACTGTTACAGCACTGGGCTTTTTTTTTGGCTCAACATAGCAAAGGCTTTTTGAACTTCATCCAGAGTTACCTGAAAGGCATATGAACTTGGCAGTCATTCCTCATTTGCCATTTTAATGAGAAAGCCAATATATTGGTGAGTCTTAGGACAGTTTTCTGAGGTGCTGAAACTTGGCATCTGAGTAAGGTTTGTTAGCTTATGATTTGACTTAAGCAGCTAAGTTACTTGAGTGTTTATCTCAGTTTCAAGCAACCTATTTGAGCTTTTTTAAAAACTACTGGACTAGTGAATTTGCTTTTCTTTTGTGTGCAGGTGTTCACGTAAACATAATTTCCCCACATCAAGTCCCACCCTTCTTATTAGAAGCATGTTTACAACATTTGGAATGGAGCAATGCAGGAGGGATGACTATGACCCTGATGCAAGCCTGGAATACAGCGAAGAGGAGACCTACCAGCAGTTCCTAGACTTCTATGATGACGTGCTGCCTGAATTTAAGAATGTGGGGAAGGTGATTCAGTTCAAGGTGGGCATGTATGTGGAGGAGGGGCCTGGTGTACCTCACTCGCGGGTGATCGATGCAGGGGGACCTGAGGCCCTGATGTTCACCTAAGTGGATTGTGCACGAGGACATGCCAATCACGGGATCAGCATGCAGTGCTTGGGAAATGTCACCCCCCAGTCCTGACAGATGCTGTCATATTTCCTGAGTGCTAGGGTCTAGGTTGGAAAGGGCCTTTCATTTATTCATTACCTTTGTGCTGTGGCTCTTTGCCAGGATTTTAATTCTCTGTGTGAGGTTGTCTGCACATAGTTACCCACAGCTTCGCTATTATGCTGCCTGTGTCTTTCTCTGTAGATGCCTCAGCTGTAGCTGAGGGGTTTGTACTGTGGCTCTACTCTGCTCACTGAGCATGCTGGTGCATTGTGTTGATGCTGCCTGCTTGCTTCTTCTGCCTAAGAAGTGTGCTTTCCTCTGAAGCTACACAGGAACATAGATCTTGATTCCTTCTTTTCCCTCACATTGTTTATTATCATTGATTACTTTCAGTACTGAACATAGTGTCCCAAGATGATGGTTTGTGATGCAGCATACTAGGTGAAAAGGAGGCATTCAGATACCAGAGCAGTACTTTACAGTATTTCCTAAACAAGCATTCAGCCATACGCAATCCCTGCTGTTCCTAGGCCTCCTTAGTTGAATCCCTGACGTAGTGAACCCTCCTACCTTGTTTGGGATTTGATCAGTTTTGAATGAAGATGCCTTTGTTATGTTAGAGCAAAGAAACTCTCTCAATTTGGAGAAAAACAGAAATGAACTGTGGCTTTTTTCCAACTACTTGAAATGACAGTAGGGAAATAGAACAGAAAAGAAACAAAAATACTCATGAAATTCAATGCTATACTTCTATCAACTGATTTCAAGATTTTGAAACATTATTTTCAAGTCTCTTTCCCTCTTAATCTTCTGGTTTTGTAGCTTGCACCTTCCTGTCTGGGCATTCCTCAGCACAAGTCATAGCTGCCATAATGCAAAGGCATGGTCACATGCAGTGATGACATGTGGAAGTGCTAACCATGAAGGCAGCATGGCTTGACCAGCCCAGTGCTCTCAGCCATGTCATTGTCCCTCTAAGTGTTCCCTCCTTGTCTTGAAAGGGAGAGGATTTGATTCTCAATGGTTCCCTTGTAGAAAGTGGGAATGGTAAAGTTTTCAAAACTTGAGATTGGTTAATGGAAATCACACCATTATCCATGGTAGGCTGCACCCTCTAACTGTGAAGATTTTGTTTTGCTTTTGGTTAAAAAACTTATAGGATGGCCAAGTTCATGCTAATCATTTTGGCAATTACAAATGGAAAGCTGTTTAGTAAATTTTTAGTAGGAAAATTTTCAGAACGTAGAATTCATTAGGGAAAAGTAATTATGGGTTCTTAGGACCACAGTATTAAATGATCTCTAAGGTCCTGGGCATGGCTGATGAGCAGTCCTTTTATTCATTCTTTTATTTATTCTTCCTCCTATGGATGGCATTGCAACTTGTTATTGAGTATGGATTCTACCCCTTTTTGGATGCTGTAATAAAAATTATCCTGGAGCAAATTTATAAAATTATTGATTCATTTTGAAGACAGAAGCTAAATAGTAGTAGGAATATCTGAGGGCCTTTTTATGAACTGTTATATAAAAACAAATCAAACTTGTTGCTTTTGAAGGCAGATGATCAAATGTTCAACCCACCTCGTAATAGAAACAGTGCATAGGAAAATGAGATATTATTCATGCCTGTTGGCCAACAAGTTCCAAATTCTACTAGTCCCAAGAGTAGGTGAGGATGTATGTGTTAGTAAAACTACTCCAGAAAGCAGTTTGCCAAGGCACAGTGAAGTGGAAGGTGTACGTAACCTATGAATTGCTCTGCTGCTCCTGGCCCACAGAGACGTGTGCAAGAATGCTGACCACAGCACCATTTATGGAAGGAAAATTGGAAGCACCTTGTACAGCCATCAGTAGTAGAGCAGATACATTAATTTGTTAATATGATTTATCTAATATATTCTAGTTGGGTCATTTGGTTAGCAGTAATACATCTTAGAAAAAAAGGAAATGTAGAATAAGTACCATTTATATAAAATTTAAAAACACAAAACAAGAATATGCATTTTCAACTAGTGCATATAAATATTATTTTGTGGGGGTTTTTTTGAGATAAGGTCTCGCAATGTAGTTCAGGCTGGCCTTGAACTTGCTATGTACCCTAGGCTGGCTTTGAATTTGCAGCAGTCCTTCCTCCTCAGTCTCCTAAGTGCTGGATTATAGACATGTGCCACCATGCCTGGCCTACATTACACATTTCTTTGTTTACGTGTGCATAGATATGTGCATATGTGTTTTGCATAGTAGACATACATTTATATGTATGATACATACGTTTCCTGGCATATAGATGTTTGTATCCTATATGTGTGTATATATTTGTATCTGTGTAGATGTGTATATGTGCAATGTGTATTTGTGTTTAAGATATGCAGGCTATGCTCAGTCTCCAGATAGTGCCCACCTATGCCATGGAGAAGAATAGGAGAGAAAAGCTTCCGATGGGCTCTCACTGTTTTACATCTTTAAACATTCTCAGTCTGGAAAATATTAGTGTTAAATTGGGTAGTATTCCTATGGGATGATTTACATTATAGTGTTTTTATGCCTGTCAGACATTTCATATTTCTGGGGAAAAAGATAGACTTAGATCAACAGAGATCAGATAACCGAGGCCTCTAGTACTGTTACATGCTGAAGTAAGTTTGACACAAGAGTTGGCTACTGTGATCTCCTTTGGAATCTTTGACTGATAATTAGTTTGGGAAATGTTAGCCTGGACCAAAAGCATTTGATGACTGGATGATTTCTTTTGTAATGATAGCATTCTTCATTGTTCCTTAGGTTAGCTGCAATTTGGAACCTCATCTGAGGGGCAATGTCTATGTTCAGTACCAGTCGTAAGTATTGTGCACATAAATGTCTTCAATTTTTGTCATAATATGGTATATTGTTTTTGTTGGTACCTGGGACCTTTCCACTGATATATAACTTTCATAGGCATAATATTTTCAAAAATATAAATATTAAGAGCTGATACAGCAACAAAGAAGGAATTTGAAAAAATACCTTTGTGTTTCACTCTTTGTATATAGTACTTTTGTAGTTTTGAATCTAACAACATGATTATATTATTATGTGTATTCTTTTTAATAATGAAAATATAAACCGAAAATGGATAACTAAAGTAGAGAAGGTAAAAATCTAAAGAGCCACAGATTGAAGCCCACAATAATGTTAGTGTGCGTTTGATAGCTAGGAGAGTGGTTACTGTATCACTTCTGCTGGCCTTGCTGCTTGTCTTGTCACATCATGTGTAACAGGTTCAATTAAGCATGGTAGTATGGAGCATCACAGACCTAGCTGAGAAAACAAAGGCACTAACAATGGAACACACCCCTGCAACTTTAATGGTCCAGTCTTAGATTGGGAAGATTTGACTCAAGCCAATTCCCATGCATCTGAAGTGTTCAGCGGGTTAGTAAAAAGGTTTCTGAGTTAACTGTGAGAGAGCTGTAGGAGCCTGAATGTTTTAATGAGGACTCCTTGGCAGTACAAAAAGAGTGAACTTGGTGGTCTTACAGTAAATTAATAAAGCTGTTAATTCATAATAGGGTTGATCTACCTTAATAGTATAACTCTAATGAGTTACTATAAATCATATCCTTTGATTTTTGGTTTAAAGGGAAGAGGAATGCCAAGCAGCCCTTTCTTTGTTTAATGGACGATGGTATGCAGGAAGACAGCTTCAGTGTGAATTCTGCCCAGTGACCCGGTGGAAAATGGCAATTTGTGGTAATGACTTTTCCTCAGTTGTCCCATTATTATATAAAGGGATATTCTGGGGGCAGTCTTTTATGGGATGAGGCATAGCTTTTGCCTTATGCAGATGAACAGAGGTATTACATAAAGGACACTACAGTGGTGATCTGTAACAGACCTTGTGGATCACTTTATAGGTGAGGCGACTAAGGTCACAACGTATCAGTGAGAATTAGGGCTAGAATTTCAGTCTTTTGCTCTTCAGTCTGAGACACCTGTCTGACAATGCAGGAAGCCTGAGAAGCCGTTTTTAGGGACCCTCATTGTCCTTGTTGCAGTTTCAGAGCTGTTCTCTATTCATTGGCGCTCTTCATTTTGAGTTGTTTATTCCCTTCTTTGTCCCTAAGGAGTCTCCCACCATCATTACCACTACGCACATTGCCTATGGATGACATTTCATACCTTACTTGATTCATGGCCATGGTCCTGTAGGATCAGTTAAGTGTGCATTCAGTGTGTTCAGTTAGACTGGCTCATTGGACAGTGGCAGTGAACCAGGAAGGGATTTGGCATTCCAGCCCGCTGTGCTGGCTGGAGAGTAGCCAGCAGCTTCAGAGGCCTAGTCATTTTCTGATGTCTAAAAGTGGCCTTGGACAAAGCAGTGTGGAAGTTCCCCAGATGAATAGGTGATGCCTCAGGGGTGCATTTGTCTTTCCCTTCACTTGTGTTTCTTTGCTCTGTGCGCTCACCTGCTGAAAATGTCTTAGTAAAAATGCATAATTTATAAAGTCTGAATCTTTAGTAGCTTTGTCTTAATGGATGCTGACATTTAAAAACCATTTTTTATGAAGAATGAAAAGATTTTAGAATTCTTTGGCTTAAAACCAGAAGAACCCTTACACTGTAAGTTTAAAAGCTCAGGAGATGAAAAAGATGGAACTGTTTCACCCATACAGGCAGTTTCTTGCGCCGTTCAAGGGAATGCAGTCATTTATTTCAGGGAGGGACTTCTGAATATGGCTTGGACTGTCTCAAAACAGGACACTTTTTTTAAAAAAAAATCACAGATCTGTTGTTTGCTTAGTGATTAATGATGTCGAATAGCTATGTTTTTGTTATTGGCCATTTGTATGTCATCTTTGGAAAGAAGTCTGTTCAGATCCTTGGTCCATCGTTAGTTAGGCTGGCTTTTTACTGAATAATCAGAGTTCTTAACTTTGTGTACAAGTACCTGATCACAATACAATGTGTAAATACTTTTTTGTTTTCTGTGTGCTTTTTATTTTGTGTCCTTTGAAGCACAGAAGATTTTATGGGGCTTTACTTTTCTTTCTGGCTTATGCATTTGGTGTCCTGTCTAGGACTCTGTTGCTCAGGTTCTCAAGTATTTATGGGTAATATTTCTTCTTCAGTCAATTTCATCTCTTACATTTAGGTCATTGATACAGTTTGCCTTAATTTTTTTAATGTATCTGGTTGTTACAGGGTCTCACTACACAGCTGGACTCATAATGATCCTCCTGTTTTCAGCCTCTCCAGCACTGGGATTATAGGTGTGGGCCACTACCTCTGGACTCTGGCCGGCTCAGCCCGCTCTCGGGGTGGGGCTGGCATGGCATGTGGTGCTGGGGATCAAACCACATTCCCTGCACTTGCCAAAGCTTGCCTAAGCAGGCACTTTAGTCTGCTGAGCTATCTTGCCAGCCCTGCCTTAATTTTTGTACAATGTGTGTGGTATGGAGGAATTTCATTATTAACCGCTTTGTGTATGTGGGGAACTTGATGTTTTTTAAGTTTGATAATCCCAGAAAGATTATAGCACTCCAAAAGATCTGAGTAGTTCAGCCTGCCCTGAGGGTGGGGCTGGCATTGCATGTAGTGCTGGGGATTGAACCATGGTCCCCTGCCCTTGCCTAAGCAGGCGCTTTAGAACGCTGAGCTATCTTGCCAGCCCAGATTTAGCTTTTAATACAGGATCTTCTGTATTAAAAGCACTTTGTGGGTTGGGGAGCTAGCCCGGTGGTCTAAGTGCCTGCCTGGCAAGTGCAAGGACCTGAGTTCAATCCCTAGTAACATATGCTGTGCCGGCCCCAGAGCCCCAGGTGCACCGTGCCAGCCACCGAAACCAGGCGTGGTAGTGCACGCCTGTAATCCCAGCACTGAGAACAGTTAAGACAGGAGCATCACTACAAGTCCGAACTGCATAGTGAGACCCTATATCAAATAAATAAATTTAACAAAATCACTTTGTAAATTTATGACCAGTGTTTATCATCTTATTCTTAAAATGTGAAGAATATGCAACATCCTCTACTTATATTTGGCCATTTCTTTTAACCAATAGTTCTATTCTGCCATTACTGTGCCCTCAAGGCATGCGGCTACATGGATCCCGAGGTCTGGTTTTTTAATTTTAATAAGGGATAAAAATAGTCACTTAGTGGATAGTAAAGCTGTAGGAAGAATAACATGGTTACCATGTTTTCTCTTGCATTCTGCACTACAGTAGGGACACGGGATGTTGTGATTAATTAAATCTTCAAATTCATTGCCTTTCCAAGTGCCATTGATAGAGCATTTGACTATTTTAGGAATTCTGGGAACCACACTATTAGTTTGGTTTATGTAATCGCCCCCACCCCAAATTCATTTTATTTTACTTTAGGTTTTTTAAGACAGGCTCTTGCTGTGCAGCTCAGGCTGGCCTTGGACTCACGTTGTAGTCCAGGCTGGTCTCAAACTTGCAGCAGTCTTCCTGCCTCAGCCTTCTGAGTGCTGGGATGTAAGTCCCTTTTAATTAATAAAGGGAAGGCAATAGTTGAAAGCTATCCAGCACCAGAAGTGCACCTTTCTCAAATAAGAGTCTGTATTAAAAGCTAAATCTACTAGAAACTACTCAGATCTTTTGAAAGGTTAAGCACCACCTTTGGCACACTCAGCAGTGACTATCGTTTCATCTCTGCCATGCAGGTTTATTTGAAATACAACAGTGTCCAAGAGGAAAACATTGCAACTTTCTCCATGTATTCAGAAATCCCAACAATGAATTTTGGGAAGCTAATAGAGACCTCTACCTGTCTCCAGATCGGACTGGCTCCTCCTTTGGTAAAAACATAGACAGGAGGGAGAGGGCGGGCCACCATGACGATTACTATGGCAGGCCCCGGAGAAGGAGGAGCCTTAGTCCAGACCACTCCTACAAGAGAAACGGGGAGTCCGAGAGGAAGAGGAGAACCAGTCACAGGGGTAAGAAATCTCACAAACACACAAGGAGTCATGAGAGGCATAGCTCCCGAAGTAGAGGAAGAAAAAGGAACCGCAGCCGGGGCCAGAGCCGCAGGGGCCGCAGGAGCAGGAGCCGGAGCCGGAGCAGGAGCAAGAGCAGGACCCGGACCCGAAGCCGGAGCAGGACCCGGAGCCGGAGCCGGAGCCGGAGCCGAAACCGGAGCCGGAGCCGAAACCGGAGCCGGAGCCGGAGCCGAAACCGGAGCCGAAACCGGAATCGGAGCCGGAGCCGGAGCCGGAGCCGAAGCCGAAGCCGAAGCCGAAGCCGTAGTAGGACTAGAAGCAGAAGCAGGAGCCGAACCCGCAGCTGGAGCCGAAGCAGGAGCAGGTCTAGGTCCAGGAGTCGTGGCGGCCGGAGGTCAGACAGTAGAGACAGAGCCATTCAGAGTCCCAAATCCAAATAAAACTCTTTTGTTCTTAAATGATTGTATATCTTGCTTATTATGGGTGCCTATACCTGGCTAGAAGGTTATAAGCTTAAATGGGTTCGTGAATCTGGGCTAGGAATCCTGTAGTTGAGTGTCGGTCACAAGAAATAGTGTTTCTTCAAGTCTTTTTTCTTTTTTTGGCTGGCCCAGGCTGCCTGCCTTAAGAGTGGGTCTGGTAAGGCAGGTGGAGGTGGGAATCGAACCTGTATCCTGTATCCTGTGCCTGACTGCATTTGCATGAGCAGGGCTTAAACAACTGAACTAACTGGCCGACCCCGTTTCTTGAAGTCTTGTTCTTGTTTTACTTTTACTTACTGCATAGTGTACATCTATCTACTAGTTTATTGAGCCACATTTAATTTTGTGGTAGCTGAGACTAACCCTGTAATGGATTTCCTTAACTGTTTCCACACATTTCTGATCACTTCCTTAGGATATGTTACATCAAGATGAGTATTACATTTCCACATTGCCTCGCAGAAAGACTATGGAAAACTTGTTGCCAACAATAAACTTGGCTGCTTCCACAACAGTTATGGCCATTGATTCTTGTCTTTTTTAAATAATGGTTTCTTCCTATATGCAAAAGCCAAAGAGATTTTTTGTTTTAATAACTTTTTTCTCAGTTTGAAAGTACTGAAAGGTACAGTACATTTGCCCTCTCCTATACTTGCAGCACTGTCAGCTAGCAGCTTTATGCCGGGGTATTTATCTTTTTAAAGTAATGTATTACAAAGTTCTTTATATGTAGATATGGTTTGTCATTTACAAGAAAATCAGAGTCATAGCCAGTGAATATATCTAGTGTCAGAGTACTGGTATAAAAATAGAACAATGGTCAAAGAAGACAACTTAATGTGTAAAGTTCCAGGCATATTATCCGTATATTTCAGACCAAGAAAAGTTTTTTAAAAAATGTATTTGCTTGTTACAGGCCAGCTCAGCCCGCCCTGGGAACAAGACTGGCAAGGCATGTGGTGCTGGGGATCCGAAGTCCCTGTGCTTGCCTAAGCTTGCCTAAGCAGGTGCTTTAGTCCACTGAGCTATCTTGCCAGCCCCAAGAAAAGGTGCTTTTAATTCCTTATAAATTCTTTATAACTTTCTTTCCATTGATATATTTTGAATCTTAAATTTTAGGATATGTGGTATTTGGGAATTTGAGATTTGGGGATAGAATTTTATTTATTTTTTATGTATTTATTTCAGGGTCTATAGGGTCTTACTATGTAGATCAGACTCGTAGTGGTTCTCCTGTTTTCAGTCTCCCAAGCGCTGGGATTGCAACCCGTGCAACCACACCCAGTCTCAATCACTGTTCCAGCACACCCTGCGGGTGGAGCCAGCACAACACACTGGGCAATAGATTTTTAAAATGCAAAAATACTGGGGAAATAGGGCAGAAATTCATGAAGATTGAGATTTCTGTATGATATTAAGTATGACAGTTCTTTATTCTATGGTTAATAAACAAGTATATTGTTCAGAATAATTTAGAAGTCAGATTTGTTCCAGACTAAAATGCCCGCTTCACCCTAAAAATTTCTGAATTTTCTAGCTTCACTAATGCTGAAGTTAGTATTCTTTAATACCTTTTCTAATACCTTTTCTAACTACAACCAAGATTACATGATTAAATGTGGTATGTGCAAACATGAATATTTGTGTGTGATACTGGGGACTGGACCCAGGGCCTCAGGCATACTAGGCAAGTGTTCTACCAGAGTGACATCTACAGCCTTGAAGCTGAATATTCTTAAAATCATGGGAGGAAAAAAGACTGCCTTCCGAGTTTAAGGTATCTGTAATACTGATGGCTTTTCCTTTGAATGTTAGTGGGCCATACTGGACAGAAGGAAAATTATAAACCTCTGAGTGGTTGATTATCTGGATAAATATCCATCTTGGGCTTAAATTTATTATTTTGTATTTAGTACAGGGTCTACTGGGTCTCACTGTGTAGATCGGACTCGTACTGATTCTCCTGTTTACAGCCTCCCAAATGTTGGGATTATAGGCACGCACCGCCATGCCCATTGCCATCTCAGCGTGCCCTGGGGACAGGGCCTGGCACAGCAGGCCCAGAGATTGAACCCCCGGCCCCTGTATCAGCCTAAGCAAGCGCTTTAATCCACTGAGCTATTTGACCAGCCCTTTAAATTTGTTATTAATCTTTATACACAGAACCTATTACTATTTATGACTCAAAATTTGCAACTCTGCATTGCTGGTAGAAAAAAGGTTTTTTAGTTAATAGGTGCATTTACAAGCACTTTAAACTTTTTTTTTTAGTAAACTATCAACTTAATTTCATGGTAATTCTTTTCTTGCCCTTAAATATCCCAGTTTTAGAATGTAATATTTCCTACTGGCAGTAGCAGGAAATCCAAACCCCTTAGCTATTATGATAACCAAAGTTTTAGTTTGTCCCTTACATTAGGCAGCATGCTTTGCAAATATGTCCATTTCTGCTTCACATGCTAGCATTTCCTGTAACACGGGAAGCCAGAGGAATTGGATCATGTGGAATATCTTTTTATCTGTGATGATCTCAAGTGTTAGTTCAGAAAGGTAAAAAAGACAACTACATCAAGGTTTTTAAAGCGGCATTTATTGATGGAAAATGTTGGTAAGCTCTTGGTAGCATGGAATCCACATATTTTTAACACTGAATTTGAAGTCAAGACTCCCTGAACCATCTGTGTATGTGTGTGTGTGTGTGTGTGTGTGTGTGTGTGTGTGTGTGTGTGTTCTTATAATCCACCACTACACTCAAGGGGAGGGGGTGGTGGGGGGAATTTTCAACATTTTATTGAAAAAAATCTTCTGTCAGCAACTCTCCAGTTTGTCAAACTTTTGGAAAGAGAAAAACACGCTAGTGTTTTTAGGTTAAATGTTTATTACAGCTAATTGGCAATGTGATAAGACAGTGTTCACTTGGCCTGAATGTTGGTGACAATCACAACAAAGCTTAATCCAGCAGAGCATATACAAGTGCAAGTGTAAACCATAAACATGATGTTGAGATATGCATAAGGATGTATAAGTGATGCTGAACCATTATATAACTTTTAAAAATATAGGCCAACTAATGCCATTTTACTTCATTCAGTTTTCACTTTGTTACAGGAAATGTGTCTTTAAATTTTTTATAAGATTTCTGTTAACTAGGCAGTGCTGTGGAAGGAAAGGAAGCTGCTGTGAAGTTTGCAGCACTTATAATTGGAAGGAAGCAATAGGGAAGCAAAATAAATTTGGCTTTAACAAGCACTCCAGAAGGAATATTCGTGCTTTAAACAGTGACTTTCTGCAACAATGAAGAAAGCAAGATGTGTCTGTAAGATACTGCTATGGAGAATTTGTGGTAAATTGACATTCTCACTTTGAGGGCATCCAAAGCAATCCAAACAAATATCTAAATGATTAGGACCACAAAAATTCATCTCAGAGTCAAATGTGACTTGGCCTTAAAAATTATGTGCTCACTAACAAAAGTCAATCTTTGTTCCTTGTTCCATTCACTCGGAATGTTTAGGACTTTTAGTGTAAAACAGCATCAATGCAATTTAGTCATCTAAAGTCTGTATTCCCTTTGTTTTAAAGTATATAGAGTCCAATAGGATCTTTGGTATAAATTTGGGTTTTTGTTTTTTGGTTTTAACAGTTAATTTTTCATTTGATATGTGATATTAATTCCCTTTATTTGTATTATATATAATGCTGCACTAGTCTTTGGTTTCATAAAACCAAGTTTCACATTATAATTTGTGTCCTTTGTCAAATACAGGAACGCATATTGTCAAATTGTTTGACACACATGTATACAGATGTGTCACTTTCATATATGCACATCATCAGGAGGAACTGACTTAAAAACTTTTAAAATATCCAAAAGAGGTATCTTTCTGCATCTTTCAAACTCATATTTATATGAAGTCCCTTATTTGATTAACCAAAATTCCCTTTAAAAAATTGTGTAGGCCTGAATGAAGCAGCTTAGCAAAACAGTAATACTGACAAGACATCTTACACCATTAGCTAACATGGACATGAAGGCAGTGACCATCTACAGTGTGTGAAATGCCACAGGAAGTCAGCAACAGGGGAGGAGAGTTATGTCAGTCCAATCTCTTCAAGAACACTACGTGGGGTTTCGGCTTCCTGTGGAGGGAAAATGTGAGACTCTGGTAAGCAGATCCTGGGATGGAGTCTTAAAACTGACAAGGTCATCTCCATTTTAGAGAATCAAAAGTACTTCACTGTTGCAGGACAATTCCACTTTTTTGTGTGGATGCCTCAGGCCACCCTGGGGGTGGGGTTGGCGTGGCACACACTGGGGATCGAACTGTGGTCCCCTGTGTGCTTGCCTAAGCAGGCACTTTAGACTGCTGAGCTATCTCGCCAGCCCCAGAATTTCACTCGTGACAGCCACTCATCATTCAGAGTTTTGTGCCCAAAACATTGGAGCCCATATAAGTCTATTTTCAGCATTCATTAATTCCTCCTGATTACCTACCAATGTGCTGGGCACCACTGCTGTAACAAGAAGCAGTCTAGTCCAATGTAAACTCACTGGCAATGTATGGAGTCATTGCTCTTCAATCATATACAGTGTAGAAAAGATTATCTTAGTGTTAAAATCCAAAACCTCCAAATAAAAAGCAAGATACACCCCTTTTCCAACCCAGTCTAGTTTCCATAATGGTTCACCTAATGTTTTCCATGCTTAAAAAAATGCCACATATATTTGTAGTGATGTCTTCCACTTAGAATTTTTATTTTACTGTCTTTAGAGACAGCCACCTTCCCAGACCTCTCCAGGATACTCTGGGACAAAGATATTGTTAATTTATCTCAATAATCAGTACTTGTTTTTAAATACCAAGGGAAGATAAAGAGCTACCCCTGTAAAAAATTTTTTTGTATTTAGTGCAGGGTCTACAGGGTCTCACTACACAGATTGCACTTGTAATGACTGTCCTGTTTTCAGCTTCCCAAGTGCTGGGATTACAGGCATGCACCACCACACCCAGGTTCAGTCGCAATCTCAGCATGCCCTGTCAAACCTCAGACCCCTGCATTTGCCTAAGCAGGTGCTTTAATCTGCTGAGCTATTTGGCTGGCCCAAAAACTGTTCTTAAAAAACAAAATATTCCAGGGCTGGGAACATAGCTCAGTGGCATAAGTACCTGCCTGGCAAGTGCAAGGCCCTGAGTTCAATCCCCGGTATCACCAAAAAAATAAAATAAAAAATAAAAAAAAAATCCAAAATGGCTATTTTGCATGTCACAGAATAAAGCAGGACCAACAGGTCAACTTTAGGTATTACTAGCAACTTTGTTATTAAAAGGCAACACTATTTTAAAGGAGGAAAAAAATGTAAATTTTTGATGGCCAATATAAACTTACTTTCGCATCCTAATTGTGGTACAGCACAAAGCAAGGAAAAGAAAAATTATGTTAAATCACAAATTCTTAGAACGTTAGATTTAATCATATGTAAGGCACATTATGGTATAATCTTAAATTACTTAAAGCTCTATAGCCTGTTTTTATATTTCAAAAACAAGAATAGCACTTACCTTCATATGTTGATATTACAATAAAGGCTCACTGCCTGATTTATAGGAAGTACTTCAAAAATACTAGCTGATAATTACACATCTGAAATCTAAATGAAGGTATCAGCACTGAGTTGAAGTACTATAACCAAAAAAGTTCATACGACGACCTGTATGTTTGTGTAGTAATGAAAAATGAGTGAAAACCACCTCTACCAAATTTTAAAAAAGGTATTTGTTTAAAACACAGTCTAATGTAAGAAATGTATTTGCCATGCCCCCTCCCAATGAACTTCCAACCAGGTTATAGAGGTCTAAATAAATCTAGATGAGGGATAAATAAAGCTTTGCTATAAGAATACAATCAACCACAGAATGTAGAAAATTCTATGGCATAAGCCATACATTATATGTCATAAATAATGCATGAAAATATAGCAAGGGGAAACCCCCAAAAGCCTTGTTAAAAATTCAAAAGACTTAGGACACATCAACCAGATGCAATGTGAGCCCTGTCTGGAATCTGGTTCTAATAAATTTTAAAAGGGCATTCTTCAGACAATTAGGATACACCGAGCCTGGCAAAAGGTAGTAGAATTAGTTCATCTTGTTGAGTATGCAACTTATCTGCCAGAGACACATACTTGAGTATTAAAAACAAAAATGACAGGATGTCTAGGGCTCGCTCTAAAATCCTGAAGCCAACCTGGAGGGCAGAGCTTGAGGACGCAGTACTAAGTGGATGGCTGTCGAAGGTGAACAGTCTGTGTGTACACAAAGGCTCTTTGTAGTACTCCCCTGTATTTGTGCCTTGAAATTTTCATGTTTTCAAACACTTAAGAGTCTGGTAGAGATGATGTAATATTCCTAATAGTGATATATGCCAATATTTGCCAATCAGTGTTTAGCCTTCTTTAATACACTGAATGCCATCTTCATCACATAAATATTAAATAGAAAACTTCATTTAACTTTTAATATGATAATTAAAAGAGTTCTACACTGAATTCTGTAGTTTGCATTTCAGCTTCTCCAGGTAAAACCAGCTCACAACTACCCCTGGGTCTGGTCACATTTCCCCTATGTGCTCATTGCCTGAAGTCTTCTATAGCATTTCCTGAAGAGAATCGTGGTACTTTTTGAATATACATTATTTAAAATATTTGTCCTTTCTAAAAGGCCTAAATTTTATTTGCAGATTTTATTCCTTTAAGGCTGTACAACTAGAAATTTTTTGCAAATTGTTTAGGATATAAAATGTAATTTTCACATGTTCATACTAAAAATGGAGCTACAAATTATGTAGAAAAACTATTATCTAAAGTAGTAAAAATAAGATAAAGTAGAATAGTGGTTACCAGGGCCTGGGGAAGAGAGAAATGGAGAATAGTTGATTTATGGGCAGAGTTTCAGTTTGGTAAGATGAAAGAGTTCTGGAAATCTGTTGCACAACAATGTGAATATATTTAGCACTAAACTGTACACTCAGAAATGGTTAAAATGATGAATTCTATGTTATGTGTTTTTTACCACAATTAAAAAAAACCTAGAAAAGCGAAAATATAAAATGTTATTTTATCGAAAGGGATGAAGAAAAATTCATTCACATGAGACAAAATACATGCAATACTTTTATTTTAGACATGCAAGAAAAGCTATTTCAGAATCTACTAATTTAAAGCAAGCAGCTGTATACAGATAACAAAAGAAGCAACATTTTGTTACAACTCAGCACACAGCATCCAAAGCAAACAGGCATGAGACAATGCATATTTATGCAGCATTAAAACCAGATGAACAACATATTGCAGGGTGGGGAGGATGGAAGAGGGCAGAAAAGGAAATGAAAGACCAATGTTGCCCAGTGCTTCCAATGTAGTGTCTTACAGAAAGAATGGCAAGAATGGAAATAACTGGTGTGTATACCTGCCCAACACTAAGTTTGTTCCTGACACATTTTTTAATGTCTTCTAGTGTGAGTATCTTCTGGAATTACTCTTTAATGACAACTTACTTAATTTGCCTTCAATTCTATAGCTACAAATAATGATTTGGTGCTTTTCCTTTTATAATGAAATATGCTACAAGTTTTATTGAAAGCATAATAGTGATGAATATTAAAGGTTTTAGTACTCAGAAATATAAGACTATAGTTAACAAAGCATTA